TGTAATTTAAATCTATGAGTCTACGTTTTTAAAGTCTAAATCTACAATTTTATTTCACAATGAAATAATTAGAGTGAGTGGTGGTCTTATTCCATTGAGATTATTATGTGTGAATTTTCATTTTGACACTTTGCTTAAAATTCTGACGAGATACTTACATTTTGAAGATTTTCTTTCAACGAAATTTTAATTTCTCACAATATAACTTTTTAAGCATTCAAGAAATTAAATACAAAATCCAAATTATTCCTGTTATCTTTATTTGATTTTTTTATTTCGGATATGTTCTTATCCAATAAAAAGAAAATGTTCTATTATTTTTGTTTACATTTAACATATACATGTATGAACTTTTTTTTTACGTCACCTAGTATTTTCCTCAGCACATATACATGTAGCTAAATATATTTGTGTCATATTGTGGATATTGGCCAATAGTTCATTACTTTACACTGTTAATTGTTTTTGATGACGAAATGACACAAAGGTTGGTAATAACGACAGACAATCGATACTTAAGTAATAATATAACAAGATATTGTGACATATTGGAGATTATTGGTTGATCGATGTGCTTTGAGTTCTGAAGATAATCAGGAAAGGGGGATTTTCTCATACTCCAACAGTTAATGAATATCAAAAGTCAATTAGGTTTTCTGTATTAGATTTAACCTTTATTCTTGTTTAGATCCTATATAATTGAAAGAATTGATAAAAAAAAATAACCTGCTCGTGCGATGTATGTAATCAATACCTATACTTAATATTTTCACCTCTTATAAGTTGAATAAACTCAAAAGACTCTCTCTCTCTCTCTCTCTCTCTCTCTCTCTCTGTCTCTCTCTCTCTCTCTCTCTCTCTCTCTCTCTCTCTTGTAGGTCATATCACTTAAAATTAAAATACTAAATTATCTGCTACTTTTTTAAATCTGAAGTTAAGAAGAAAACTGCAAAAGCTCCTCTTTTTATCCTTTATTATCTATTAAGATCTCTTAAGATGGACAATATGCTATATAACCAGATGTATTCTTTATTTAAATGCGTATAGATAAAAAATGTAATACAAGTGTTTTCTTTTATCTGCAAGGTTTGTTATAAGTGTGAAAGTAAATGTTTGTGTAAGATTTTAATTTTATATCGTAGATTTGCTCTACGTATGAACAATTTCTAAAACGATGTAAATTATTGACAAACAAGTTGATGAAACAAGAAGATCAGCAGTCTCGTTTAAAGTCATCATTTCGTAAGTTCTATGGTCGATATAATAACCTTGTCAGCAAATACAATTTATCATTGAGCCAAATGCTGATTGACATTTTTCATACTAATTGTTAGTTCATTATTTATACACTGAATTGACGACGAATTTTTCCGTTAATTCACTATCATGACAAGGAGCACACGTCGGGTGTTACCGGTCAGCAGGGGATGCTCACTCCTCTATGGCACCTGATCCCACCTCTGATGTTTCGGAGGTCCGTGTTTGCTCTGCTCCTATTTTGTTGAATACTATTCGTTATCTCCATATCCTTCCATTTGGTATAAAATATTTTTTGGTGTCAGTGGATTTAAAACTCTTTACAAAATAGCATACAATTAAATAAATCAACGGGCTTTGATTTGACATTTTACAAGTTATAGTAGAATGTAGATAAATATAATGAGATTTTACCTTTAGCTGTATTATTTTTATACATTATATTTGGCTTTGTCATTAGTTTATTTGATTTATTTTATCACGTGCGTGTCAAGGTATACAAATGAAGAAAACCAGGGACATGGTCGGTCAATATGCTTTTCCGTGAAGTTCATATATCTATGAATCGTATAAAAAAACCATTGATCATTGAAATGTGTAATTATATAAATATTTTTCTTTTTCGCAATATTTGTGAACATAATGAAATATATGGAGATAACAAATATTATTCAAGCTAAAAGTCCAATTAACAATACAAAATTGGAGCAGAGCGGACCTCCAAAAATATCAGAGGTGGGATCAGGTGCCATGGAGAACGGACCCGCATTACCCGCCTTGTGCTCCTTTGACAGATCTACAAAATATTTAATCAAAACTTTGTGCCATTTTAACAATTATATTTTTTTAAAAATCGTTTGAACGATTTAAGAAAACGTTTGTACGATTTAATAAATCGTTTGTACAATTTAATAAATCGTGTGTACAATTTAATAAATGGTTTACAATTTAATAAATCGTGTGTGATTTAATAAATCGTTTGTACAATTTGATAACAGATTTAATAAATTGCTGATGAATTTAATTATCTATTAGAATGTAAAACCTTTGTACAATTTAAAAAATTAAATGGGTTATTATTATTCACACAAACAATTTTTTATCAAACAATTTTTTATGGAACGTTTTGTCAACGTAAAAACGAGAAAATGTTCAAACATTTATAAAAATGTACAAACTATTTTAAAATATCGTATAAAAATTTAATAAATTGTACTCAATTTGATATATTTACACACGATTTAACAAACAAATTGTACAAACGATTTATTAAATATGTTACCTTTTTGTTATATAAAATTTATTAAATCGTACAAAGTTTGTATATATTTTGTATATACGATTTATCAAATTGTACAAACGATTTATTAAATTGTACAAACGATTTATTAAACTTGAACCTTGTCATAATCGTGAAATAACCGAAAAAATCTGTCGACAATTCAGTATTGCATGTAATGACCTGATAATCTGTATGAAAAAAAAACGTCAGTAAGCATTTGACTTATTCTATTAATTTTAATTTGCTGACAAGGTCATTATATCGACCATAGAACTTACGAAATGATGACTTTAAACGAGACTGCTGATATTCTTGGTTCGTTAAGTTGTTTGTCAATAGTTTACTTCGTTTTAGAATTTTTTTTTATACGTAGAACATGCTCTCGCGTATTGAATCAACTGAGAGATATAACCATGTATGCAGGTGATGAAGGTATATTGCTGCATTAAGTAAGGGAAGGTGACGATTGAAAAGTTGAATCCAATACATTAATCATAGAGCTGCTTTGTTATTAGATTACCATTAATGTCTTTTTCAGGTCAAATATCTAGATATGAAACAGATGTGCCAGATTTTGTGGTATCTTTGTTATCAAGTCACAGGGATACAATGTTTATCGTATCTATATCAACAAAAGTGTGGAAATAACCATTGTTAATTGACAATACGTCGTCGATATACAGTGTATTCATATGTCAAATTGAAGGCCACAGCAAGTACGTATTTTCACATAAATAGATGTTGCACAAATTTTGCTTCATAGGAATACACAAATACATGTAGGTCGGCTAATAACAGCTAGGGGGACAGTTATTCATTTATGTGATGCAATCTGTAAAATCAAAGTCAAGGTCAATTTAATAATAAAAGGGTTTCTATTTTTCATGATTAATTTTGCATATTCAACATACATTCCATGCAAGAAAAAAAAACAGAATACAATACATATCATTTAAATGTACAAACTCATTAAAAGAAAATTTTTGCTCAGATGTAGCTAGGCAGCATCAAATGGGAACCTTCCGACAGTAATGCTATCTGATTACTGTCAAGAAATAGAACATTGCTATACTTAAAGAGAAAAATGAGGTTATTATTTAAGTTTATACGCTATTGTGATTACTTGTGTGCAAGAAGTTGCCGCTTATCACTAAAACTGAATTGTGTACTGCAAGTCAAGCAAAAAATAATGAAGGTTTAGTCAAAATGACACTCTTAAACTTTTGTTATCAATCGAATCCAGGAAAGACATGAATGATTAAAACCAAACGTTTGTCTTTTAAATTCAAGATAAAAAGGAAATCAATACAGTAATTCAGTATCCAACAAAAGCCACTTTTTTCAGTTTAATTTCCATTTATATTGATGCAACCAAAATGATCAGTTACATAAGAGCGTATGCATTAAAACTCTTTAATAAAGAAATAAATCAAAAAATCTAAGCCAAGTCTCCCTTTTCTGTCTCGGAAATCTTGTCATACATCATATCTAACCAAGGAATAACAAATATGTCAGAGGTCTGCCATTTAATGAAGTAGCTGATATACAAAGAAACGGTGCCATCAGAAGTTATGTGGTATCAAATACTGGGATTGTTTCTATTTGATGGGGCTTTGTTTTTCAGAGTAATTTTTCACTCTCTGACAGAAGATTCTATCGTATGTTATTAAGACCTGGCATCAGTGATTGATAACCCTTAGTTTTTTCATCGTAGCCTGCATTGGGAGAAAGCATCAAGTTTAGTATTTGTATTGTTCTTACTGCAACAAGGAAATGTATTTCAAATACGATTTGATTCTGTAATTAAGATATCTAAAACCTTATAATGTTTTGAATATATACTCAGACAAAATTGGTGGGGTTAAAAATAAATGTGATGGACATCACTCTCCAGGCAATACACAGGAAGACTGCTTTCCAAAAATTTCCTTGGATCCGCCTTTTTAAGAGATCTTACAACTTTAAAACAATAAACCCTTTTTTTTTTAAATTTAATTTCTGCTATATTAAAAAATATTTTTTAAAACGTGTATAGTTGCTTGAAATAAAACATCATGAAAATTGTTTTGTCAAAATTATAAATTTATTTTTTCAATTCGAAATATTTTGCCTTTACCTATTACTAGTAAGTCCAAACATGTAATGAAACATATGGACATAACGAACAGTATTCGAGATCAAAAGTCCATAGAACAATACAAAATAGGAGCAGGGCAATCACGAACCTCCAAAACATCGGAGGTGGGATCAGATGCCATGGAGGAGTGAGCTCCCGCCGTGTGCTTATTATCATGATCGGGAAATAACAGAAGAATCCATCGTCAATTCAGTGTCTAAATAATGGACTAACAATTAGTATGAAAAACGTCAGTCAGCATTTGGCTCTATCAGGGCTAGAAAAAATGAGGTAATGTTTTGAACCATAATAAAAGAGTACATGTATAAAATATTTAAGCCCGATACGTTACGTTTCAATACATTGATATTTTTTACCTGAAATTCATTAGATGCATTCAAGTCTATCTTTAACGACGTTTTGTGCATTTCATTTTGAACACCTATAAGCTTACTCTGATGGATGTAATATATATTTCTGCTTTTCTGGGTTGTTATCCTTCATGGTCATTTAAAGGTTCCTTTGCCACAAGAGACTCCTAAACTCAACTGTATTTATTCATCGAATTGATTACAAATGAGACCACATGCTTTTGTTTGCCGCATCATTCATGAACCTTTTATTAAAAGGCGATTTCTATTTGAACCGCAAATAAGGCCGCTGGACATTCGATTGGGCAAATATGTATTTCACAACATCTATGGGCATTACATGATTTTACAAGTTTACAAACAATACCAAATGTTAATACATCAATAACTAAATAAAAACGTATCCAAACAACCGTTATAGATGATTTGAAAACTACTTGTTTTTTCCTGTGTTTATTTTTTGCCAGCAGGTATTTACAGTAGAAAGCATTGTCTAGTTATATTTTCTTCATCAAACAACAGAATAATTTAGTGATAATATTTTCACATCACAGTACAAAAATATACAAAATACAAGTAAATGATCATAATTTTTCTAAATGAGCACAATCAATAAATAAGTATTACACTATGACGCTCTATAACAATCTAAACCCAGAATATGCATACATAGATATTTGTGATTGTCAGGAGAGAGAGAGAGTCTTTCAATTCTTAGATTTTGTGCTTTAAAAATGTTTCTTAGAAAAATGTACTAAACAATGTCAATATCTATTTTTTAAAGGCAGTTGATAGTGATAACTCGAGAATTTTAAACAAAATCTTAATTCATGAAACAATTATATATTAATTAAATGGATATCATTAGTTTACAAAGAAATCAAGAATTGATTAATTTTTCTTCAACAAAAAGCAGACGCTTGAACTCTCACTTGTTTCTAATGAGTTTTAGGTTTTATTGTTTGTACATAAAGTTTCAATATAATATAGGAGAAACCTTTCTTGTTTGGATTTCATATATTGAAATTGAGACTTCTCTCCTTGAGCAATGTTGATGAATTACGTTGTTTTCATAAATGTCTTTAGTATTTTAACATTTAATAGATAACATGCGAGTTTTCTAGAGAGTGGAAAGAGAGTAACGAAATATATATTTTTTTCCTTTTGAAAATAGTCATATTTATGGATTTGCCGTTGAATCCACTCTGTTATACACGTCACGTCTAGAACTGTGACATTCCCTCCTCAATATAACGTATTTCCCACTTCTTAATATGCTTTAATATCTCGAGAGAGAATCAGTTCCTAGTTGGGCCATGTACAGGTCATCGAGCCTCCAGGATTTGATGCAGAGTGACACTTGATGAAGGAGAACATGGATTCTCCCTAAAAGCCCGGGATAAGTATGTCTTTTAACAGTTTTTTTTTTACTGTAATGCGAATAAATGAGGTACATTGCTGACTTTTACATTTTGAATTCTTCATACATTGGTTATTTGTTGATTTTTTTCCCGTTAGGTAATAAAATGAATCAGATCAGGAAAGACATAAAAACAAGAATGTTTGGACTTATGACATTTTTTTTCAATAATTACGAATACATACAATAGTTAATTATCATTAAAAAGGCCATTCATCGTTAATACCTCATCAAAATTGATTTCCTAGTCTCTCCGGATATCTTATTTGTGTCTTATTGAATAGCTTCTTTAAAAAGCTCGCCAAATTTATATCTGGTAATAATACGTGATTGTTAGCTGTAGTACAATACTATCTAGCTGTGAACCCTAATTACTTGCGTATTTCCATGTTAAAGAAAACGAAAGGATGACCAATAACTCTGTTGCATACAATCTAGATAATGTTTAAAACCATGCCTATCGACCATCATCTAAACGAATATAGAAGAATTTCTTAGTAACAATTACTCTTACTATTCTTCTTCTATTAAAAGAAAATAAGGTACATAAAGGTTTTAGTGTCAACTGAATAATTTTTTGCTTTTAAAAGTAATAAAAACATCACTTTTTTTATTTGGAAGTTTTCAGTCGGTTAACAATGATTTTATGAGAAATGTATAACAATATGATTAGACAAATAGAATTTCTACTACGGTTACTTGTCATTTCTTTTGTTTTAAAGATACAGATCGCTACTACTGTATAACATAACCAACAAAATGCTAAATCATAATATTTGATTTTCTATCATAAACAATTTACCATCGAGTGCAAAAGCAAAACATAATTTCATTAAAAATTTCCAGCATAGTTATTTATATAAATGATTTTCTATTATTTCGTAAGATGTACATTAAAAAGATAATAATTATATGAAAATAACCAATAAAACAAATATTGTGCTTTTATTATCACGGATTTCTCTGAAGAGGAAAATAAAATCTTCATCATCCATTCTTTTTATATTCAGATATCTCTACAACGTTTGTTTTATTGTCTTCTTGGTGCATTTTCCCATTTTCCTGTGGTACGGCCGTGTAGTGGGAACATTCTCTTTGCAGAGGCATAGGTTTGCATGTAAATATTCTTTTGAAGGTTTCCCTAAACTGTCGGCTCATTGCACAGTAAATGAGAAAGTTAAGAGGATAAGACACCAGGATAGCTGTATTAGACACGGCTGTCATAAGTAAAAAGTTACTGGTTTCAGATATGTGAATATCAAGCGTATTTTGTATGCTGAACAATATCATAATAACGCCAAGGGGCAGTTCAACGAGCAGAAATAATCCCAAAACAGCCACCAGCATCAGAGTCGTGCAGTTGCTGTCAGCCAGTTTCTTAGATTCATTTTTCTTATTTTGTCGCAACAAGAGTCTACGTCTTAGCTGGGCTTGACGCATGGTCCGGATAAGAAGAGCATTTAAAATCAACAGAAGGGAACAGGGAATGAAGTGGATAAAAATGACTCGAAATCCAAATATAAGATTAAAGTACAAGTCCAAGTCTTCTTGCACAAATGGTCTGTATGGAAACAGACAAGTTGTAATTGTTTTATTTGGAGATCTCTTTGAAGGTATCGAGTGTGGAATAGATTCTGACTCAATGAAACGTGTTGTTTGTGTTAAAGTGGCCACAACATATATGCCAACTGTGGCTCTGATGACATTAGGAACGGTGCAGACTTTTCGGGCGACATCAGTGTGGCAGACATAAATATATCTTAAAATGGCTAAGAAAACGGTCAGCCATATTGAAGCAGTATGAAATATCATTGGCAGATATTCGGTAAATAGTTTGTACACATAACACCAATCGTATGGAGGATATTCGACGTAATTTCCAAGCGTAAAGAAATAAAAGTACATTGGAAGAGGAAAAAGTCCCGTAAGCATATCTGCCAGGGCCATAGCCGCTAATATGATATTAGTCGGTGACCGCATGTGTTTCCGAAGAAGAACAAGCATGACAAGAATGTTGGTAACGATAGTTACTAAAATAAAAATAATAGACACAATCCCATTGATAGGCACTATGTAAGATTGTCCAGGATTCATAATTGGTAAAATATCCTCGTATCCCATGCCGTTACCTGGAGTACTGGCGTTATTGCCATTTGATCTGTTAAACATTTTCTCTGTATGGTCGTATGCAACGAGGGCCGTGAAATTATTTGAAATTTCAAACTTTGCTGACGTCATCATGAAATCAACGTAAATCAGGATGTAGAAGTTTCCATTTTTTCACATTTTTTTATTTTTAATTTAATCGCTCGAACTATGTCCATAAGAGTGACCGCATGCTCCACAATTTTAATTCTTAACAGTCATAATAGATTATTGGATAATATGAATTCAATTTTCAAAGTCAATGTTGAACCGAATGAACAAATAAAAAAAAATAATTACACCTTACCTAAGGATCTTGTAATTTATCTCCAGAGAAAGTACAAGGAATAAATTTATTTTACGCTCACACTTGTCAAGAACTACCTCTGTTCCCGAAATGAGATCTTTTCCTTTTGAAACAGATAGTCCCTTTGATTTCAAAGACCATGGCTACAAGAGGTTTGTCTGGGATGAGGTTCCGTGAGGTTTGGTGCATAATTGTCCATTGTCCGACGATTACAATGACAAAAGTAAAAACGGAGACTCCTATTGATTGTGTGGCCGCTTTTATGTCGTCATTAAATACTTGAATCTGGTGCGATACTTATCATTGCTATTTTCCGATACAATCTCGGCTTCTTTAACAATGCAGGCAATTGTGTTTTTGTGAGCAAAATTTTTATTTCTAAAAAGCCTCCAATTCAATTCACAGTTTACTGTTCCGATGATGAAGTTGTGTTTAATTATTGGCCCCTGATCGATGTCTTTTGGAATATGTCCCGACCGGCAATTAGTTCCAACCTCAGCCTATGCACCGATCCATACTTGTCAAATCTCTCCCGCGGTTTAAAGGTTATTATTTCACTGTAGCATCTCGAACCATGCTATTAAACTTTTACAATAAAAACACCGCTACTTCATCCTTCGTAATATGCACAATTAACATGTCACTTTATCAGCTAATGGATGGTTAAAAAGCTTTTATATACAATAAATATTAGTTGATTCGGCACTTAATCCAAATGTCTTGTCTAAATAGGAATATAAGGTGAATACTCTGGACATATAAATGCAGGAAAGCCTGGAAAAGAGGAAAAGAAAGTACAACTATGGTTATTCACAGACGAACACATTAACGACATTCATTTTCTCGTATATCAAAAGCATTAGATGTCCGCACAGGTAAATATAAATTGATGAAGCTTTTAATTTTCATCCTTGGTCCGAAAAGAGAAAGAGAGAGAAAAAAGAAAAATCGATGCACTCCCATAGTATTTAATTATGTCTGCACTTATAATCCTTCTGGGTACTCCTACTCAACGCTCCAATTTTTTAATGAAATATGTTTTTCATAAATAGCAAGATTACATTATGAAAATATAGGCATAAGTAATATAAATGCATACTGTATATTCACATAGGAAGGTAGAATTTATTTTAAATCCCAGAGCTTAAAAAATGTAGATTTATCTCCTGCCGCGTCTGATTCACTTTAAGATATAGATCGTCTTTATTGCGCTATATACGTGGGAGCAAACATGCCACGTTATTTAGAGAAAATTATTTGCAAGAGTATATTTTATTTATTTCCCTACTTTTATAACTAGAATTGATATTGACACTAATTAATGACCAATAAAATAAAATGTAATGAAAACGGCTTTAAAATGATTTAACAGAAAGAAATAAAGATATGATCTGCGCTTTGCAAAAACAATGGAACGTATATGTATGAGGAAAGTAAAATTTGACGTCTGATTTTCAAACAATAGAAAGAACGCAGCATTTGTACACCTCCTTAATATCTTGGAAAGTTATGAAAGTAATATGTTCTATTGGGCGCCTGCATGCATAATTATACTATTTGCTACTATACTATTATACTATTTGCTTATTACTTCAAAAATTCATTTATTTTATTTATTTTGACAGAAAAACAAATTACTTGGTATTGAAATAAAAAAAAATTAAAACTCCAGATATCCTGTGATGAAGGAAAAGAAATTAATTAAATATAGATCTCCGCAACGGCTATAATTGTATATATAATTATCAATGAAAATGATTGAAATAAACTGATAAAACTTCAAAATCCAACAAAGACAACGAATCTAACAGGACAAAAAGAAAACGAATCCTGAAAACACACTAGACTTGGAGAAAGAGCTGTCTGTATTAATCAAGTAAATGAATAATCTTTTTGTCAAAATGATATAGAATACAAACATCTGTTGGAAGCATGTCAATCAAAGTAAGACCCAATGATATGTTGTTATTGCTAACAAGGTCATTATTTCGGGCATTCAATTTGCAAAATGCTGACTTAAAACGAAATATTTGAATCATGTCTCCGTTAAAAAAATTAATTGTTCTCTTTTAGAATATGCGTTTGAGTATCACATCAGTTAGATAAAAGCAACATATGCAAGTGATTTTGGAATATAACTGTACAAAAAGGCAAGTTGACAATGAAAAGCTGAAGATATTATTATAGTTTAGTTATCGGTTTGTCACCAGGTCTACAGTCAGGAAAGAAAATCGTAATAGTAAGCAGATCTATATGGTGGGCTCTTATGCATGAAATATGTGGAGATACCGAACAGTAGTCGAGCTGTTCAATGTCCATTATACATTACAAAAAGGGAGCGGAACAACACGGACCTCCAAAACATCAGAGGTGGGATCAGGTGCCATGGAGAAATGAGCATCTTTAATTTTGAGTTCACTTGATTAATATACCTTTAACATATATTGTTAGTACTATTGTTGAGCACGAACACAGCTCTATAACAAAAAACGAGCATAATTATAAAAAAAAACTGAAAAAGGTTCACACAACAATTTTTTTTTAAAAGTGTCTATGTGGTCGTTTAGGTAATCGATCATAAAAAAGATGGGATCCATTTTGTATTAGATATATACACAATCATTTTGTGGCACTTTTTTTGAAAAAATTGTTTCATTTTCATTCAGCATTCTTTTACCTTCCAACAAATCCAGTCAAAATATGCAATTAGGTAAAAATAATGAACAGTGATTAAAAGGATTATGACAAGGAACACACGGCGGGTGTTTGATGTTTTGGAGCTAGGTCTGTGTTTGCTTTGATCCTTTTTGTATTGTTTAACGGACTTTTGGATTTGAATAATATTGTTCGTTATCTCCATATATTTCATTATAAATATTATAAATATTAAACAAATATGTGAAAAAGGCATAAAACTACGAAAGCCCAGAAGGCTCATTCGAGATTCAAGTTTCGAAATACGAGATTCAAAATTCGAGATTCAAGATCCAGATTAACCAGTCAAAAGGCTCATTTGAGATTCGAGATTCGAAATACGAGATTCGAAATTCGAGTTTCATTTATCAGGAATATATTTATTTTTGCATTGTCTACTTTATATAAAGGGTTGTTGACATAATAATAGAGTTATAAATAGTGACTAAAGATTAACAAAATCCCCACCCCTACCCGCCACACCTGCCACTTTTTCCTGACACTGAAAATGTTATTTTAAAAACTTGAAAAGCAATGTAGCCTTGATAAATAAAAACCGAGTAAATTAATCTTTGACCATAACGCTATGGTCAGAGACTTAAATATAAAACCATAACGCTATAGTTCTGCAGCTAATTTAGACTAATCTACTGTTTGATATCAGATAAAATGAATGCTGCATTTATTCTAATTCATATTTGCAATCTGTATTGTATATATAATTGGTAATTAATTCAAGAAATCAAAGCCTTAGATGAAGATACATGTAAGTAATTGAAAACTTTATTTTTATGTACTGAGTATTCCCTCTAATGGGAAAACGAACACGGTTTTTATTTATCAAGGCTACATTGCCTTTCAAGTTTTTAAAGTAACATTTTCAGTGTCGGGAAAAATTGGCAGGTGTGGCGGGTAGGGGTGGGGATTTTGTTAATCTTTAGTCACTATTTATAAATTTATTATTATGTCAACAACCCTTTATATAAAGTAGACAATGCAAAAATATATATATTCCTGATATATGTATTTTATTTAATATTTAAGAAGTCATAATATATATTGAAGTATATCTTGCTGATCAAAAATCCAATGATTATTTAACTTTCTTCTATTATATATAACACTCTTTCTTGCATTGTAATTTCATCAAATGACTCATTTGTTATAAATATATTAAACGATTTATTGATAGATAAAACATGATAAAGGGGAGTAATCAAATGTTGAACCCGCATTTGATTGGTTAATCTGGATTTTGAATCTCGAAACTCGAATTTCGAATCTCGTATTTCGAACCTCGAATCTCGAATGAGCCTTTTGATTGGTTAATCTGGATCTTGAATCTCGAAACTCGAATTTCGAATCTCGAATTTTGAATCTCGTATTTCGAAACTTGAATCTCGAATGAGCCTTCTGGGCTTTCGTATAAAACGGATTCCATGTACAGAGAAGGGACCATATCTTGTTGACAGGTCGCACCCATCGTAAGCCCTATTAACGGAGCATCACGTGGTCAAATTCAGTATAAAAACAAAGGCATATCAGTGAAAGAGGTCAAAGCAAGACATGTAAGAAAATCGATGTAACAGGTCCAAGATGTCAACCTTTAAAAGAAATAGGTTTATTTTGCACCCAGAACCGTCTATTAACTGAGTACTTTTGTTCTAAATATCTTGAGATAAATATCAGGGAAAAATTTAATCTTTTTTGGTACAATATTGTTAATATTAGGAGGCCCCTTTCAAAACATTTTTTGGAGTTTATCACAAATCCAACATGAGAACAAATAAAAGCATATAACTCATTTTGTATCTCTTTCTATTTCATTTCTTTTTAGGATACGATATTCTTTGAATAACTGTCAATTAAAACCAATAAAACGTCAATTGTTCACATTGAAAATGATAAAGTTTTCTTTTAAATGTGCAGACCGCCTGCGTAATTGAATAATTTTGGTTTGCGTCTAACTTGAATGCTTTTTATTAGATTTAGCTAGAAAGAAACTAAACCAAAGCGACATTTGGAACGAGATATTAAAATACACCGTGAAACATATCAAACCACTCTGTCTTAAGCGGAAGATTGACCTAATTATGGATAAGCTATACATATAGATTTAGAAAACTTACAAAGCCCTAATCTCACGTTTCCTTAAGAATTTCTTTTTTGAAGTTATAATTTCAAATTAAACACACCTTAGAAGACAAATTTAATTTCATTCCCTTTGTGTAAAGCTTAGGTAGGAATATGAAGTTTTTTCGCGGCTGTGTTTTGTTATTCCGTCTTCCTCTTATTTCGTCTGCGTTTTTTTTTCACCCAGCTTTGTTTTATTCAATGAAATATGGAGCAAATGCTGTAAAAACCATTCGAACAATACGAAGCAGGAGTATAGAAAACTCGGACCTCAAAAAATCAGAGGTGGGATCATGCGCCATGGAAGTGCGAGCATCCACTGTCGAGTGGCCACAACAGCCGTGTACTCCCTGTCATTACTAATCATTAATAAAATTCAATTAACCTGTCATAGGTCCTGCCCTATCTTATCTTATCTGGCGTTTTGCTTACCTTCATCAACTTACTATGAACCTGGCCTACCAAATCGTCTTTATCTTATGCCGACATGCATATATATTTTCATTTAAAACACAATGCATACACTGCAGCAAACTGATGAGACAAATTTTAATTGTTGTCACTGGCACTGCACATGTCCTAAATTTTACATTTATGTATTTATTGCTATTTACATTTTGGTGATCAGGCTTGGTGAACTTTTTTTTTGATCCAGCTTAACATACATAGAACAAACCAACACCATTTTAGTCAATTGAATTGTTACTGAAAGGTTTTGACAGAGCTCCATCATGGAAGATTCTTTTATAAGACTTTTATTCTCTTTTCAGTAAACTGAATGACTGAATGGCAGAACTTTAATATTTGTTAGTAAAGATTTCCGTGGAGTTTTGGAGTCAAGTATATGTACTGTACATTGCAGGCACTTTCTATTTTTGTGTTATTTAGTTC